TAATGTTATACGATTCAAAAAAACAATATCTCCTGCTGTGTCACCTGTTAAAATCTTACACTTTAATAAATGATCTGCAAGCTCTATAATCATTAATCTAGTACCATTACAAAGACCTTCATTGATACTAAGATTTCTAATCAGCATAATGATACAATTTGGCCTTAAACGCAATTCATGAGGAGGAAGAGATGATGGAGATAAACTATTCAAATATTCCAAAGCTTCACCAATGTCACCATTGTCATCATTTACAGCACTGTCTATACTTGTATAAATTCGTTCACCAGTTACATCTAATAATTCAACAACTTTTTGATTTATTTCGTCTACATCAACATTTCTTGCAGAAAGTATCGCACATTTAGCTACTTCAACAAACTCTTTTTTTTTTAATTAATTCACCATATATATCTTCCACAATATTAGTATCAATAGGTGCTACATAACATTCAAGAATTTGTATGTTATCATTGAAATCATTTAATACGCCATCTCTCATATTTAATAAAAACTTTGCAAATTCAATTTCTTTTGGAAGAACTCGCATATTTTGTGTTAAAGAAAATACAAAATATCTCCAAGTAGAACTAAATTTAATAGACAGATTCACAATTTCACTTCGAGTAGCATGTACTTTTATTGGCAAAAGTTGTCTAAAATCACCACCTAATAAAACAATTTTTCCGCCAAAAGGAAAATCATTATTCATAATATCACGCAATGTTCTATCCATAATCTCTAAAGCATATCGTGGTGTCATTGGTGCTTCATCCCAAATATAAATATCAGTTTCTTTCAAATATTGAGCTTCTTTAGTTTGTATTTTAATGGCAGATGATGAATCAGCAAATAATGGCACCGGTAATTTAAATGTCTTATGAACTGTTTTTCCAGTAGGTAATAATGTCGCTGCAATACCTGTAAAAACCATTGTGCACACGCGTTTTTTTCTAATTTTAGCTAAATGATAAATAGTTGTGTATATAAATGTTTTACCTGATCCACCCGGACCATCAATATAAAAACAATTATTATGATTATTATTATTATTATCTAATCTATTTAATAAAAGATCAACTATCTCTTTCTGCTTCTCATTTAATTGTTGATATTGCTTGGTGCCTATTTCCATAGCTTCTTCAAGTGTCATATAATCCTCCTCTGCACTATTTTCTATTAACTGTTCCATTTGTGGGAAATCAGCAAAACTTTTACCTTCAGCACGAAGCATACTATTAATTTGCGCGTAAGCTTTATTTTGTCCTTGTAACATACCAAAATGTCAAACGTAATCCTCAGACATTGCTTCTTTAAAATTTTCCCACAACTCTTCAGGATGTAATGGTTGACAATGTAATAATATGCGTACAAATAATCTACGAAGTTGTCGAGGCATCATCCATTCAACAGCTTCATTCATAGCTCGTTTCCATTCATCATCATCTTCGATTAAACCTAACGCCAAACAAGCCGTTGAAAATGATTGATAAAATTCTCCATTTACAGTTCTCAAATCATTAAAACTTGTAGCACCCTTTACTGTGGGTAATAATAATCGTAAATGATATAATTCTGTTTGTGCTGGACTAACGGAATATATTCGTCCTAAACAATTATAATGACTTTTACGTTTAACCTAATGCGATACATTTTTGCCATTAATTGTTTTTTTTTTTTAAATGTATAATAGCGTGGAATTTCTATATATAAATACTCTCTTGCTTCTTTATCTCGAAAGTTTAATGAGAAATAATCTATTAACATAGTCACTTGATTTAAAGCAGAAGTCATTATGTCGTTAATATTTTCAATTTTCAATTATAATATTTTGTTCATTAGGAAGATGGACTGGCAAACGCATTATAGAATGACTTTTATCTTGTAATTTCTTACCAAGAATACGTCAACTGGCTTCTACAGGTCCAACATAACGAGCTTCAATATAATTATGTATCTCATCATGATCAATAATTACATTTTCTGTTATTGGTTCAATGGTTATAGCAGCAACATCGTGTCCTTTATAAATATATTTATACAAATATTTAACCGATTTAATACTTGAAACTACCTCAACGTTAATATGACAATTAAATATAATCGATAAAATAGGGCAATATGGAACAACATAACGATTATTAACTATATATCGGCCAGGGCGTTCAAAATTTCTATCATTATTTCGTCGACGATAATAAGGATAAGCATCTTCATCCATTTTAGTTTCTTCAAGAAAAGATTTCGGATAGTGTTTCGAACAATGTTCATCTACCAAACACCAATCACCACAAGGTCCATGAATCATATGTTTCATGATTATATCATGTAAAATACGATTTTTACATGGATCAAGAATTTCAGCAGAAATGTATTTATCAACAATTTGTGGAGTTGTTATTTTAAAATTATATTTTAAAGTAATTAACATATGAATATGTGGCAAACCACGTTTTTGAAATTCAATGACATACACAAACGCTGCTACTTCACCAAAAAA